TTTGCCAAGTAGACACTCCATAGGGATGACAGTTTTTTTCTACAATGTTTTGGAAATTAAAGTGACATTAAACCTTAATTATTTTTATAATTAGAAGTGCCAGAGGTACTTGATTTCACATTCTTTTCCCTGAGGATTGCAGCCCTTCTGGCTTTTCAGCTGTCAATCAACAAGCTAGAGAAGCCAGGGAAGAAAATATTCAAGCCTGATCTATGCATGATCAGCTTCTTTGAAGTGCAAAGGTGATATTAGGGGTCTGAAAGAGGGGCTTGTGAGCCCTTCTATGTGATGGCAATACATTTAAAAGAGGACTATGAGGTAACCTTTTTTTCCCCCCCCCCCTAATTCTCTTTAAGGTCATGGGAAGACATATACTAACATCCTCCCATAACCCAAAGCTCAGTATATAGCGGGATATTGCCAGCTACACTGAGTGGCCAGATTATTATGACCACCTGACGTTTGTAGGCAAATTAGCTATAATTTTGCGCTGAAGTCGCTAGAGGGCCAGACCATCATAAATAGGGAAGCAGGTTGTTTACCACGACTGTAGAAGTGATTTTTTTCTGAAGATACGGGTAAACAACGCGATTTAACAGCTTTTGAACATGGGATGATTGTTGGCGCTCGGAGCCATGGAGCGAGTATCGGCAAAACAGCAGAATTCGTTAAATGTTCAAGAGCAGCTGTTGTTAAAGTGCTTAAAGACTGGACTGTCAGCCGAAAATCTGGGTCTGAACGTGCGAATTGTGGCCGTCAGCGACTAGTCAATGTTAGGGCAGAACGGAGAGTGGCAAAACTGGTACAAGACAACAGAAGGGCAACAGTGCAGTGTCAGATTCCTCGCATCACCTTTCAACATCTCGTGGAGTCACGAGGCGGCCCAACAAAGTCATCTCGTGGAGTCACGAGGCGGCCCAACGAAGTACTGATGGGGTTGTCATAATAATCTGGCCACTTAGTGTATATGCTGAGAGTGCCGCAGCCGGGGTGGATCCCAACAATACTGTCGAGATCCACCCAGCGGACTGATTGACAGCAGGCCCTGCCTATCTAGAGGCAAAGCCAGTTATGTCCGCCCTTTCCCCCATCCATCCCTCCAGTCAGTGTTGGAGGATCGGGGAGGGGGGAATCCCTGTGGGGAGCGGTGACTGATGTTCACCGCCCTCTGCAGGGAAATGATCGGGAAGTGAGCGAGCGGCTGTGTGTTTTCACTCACTTCCCGATCAATAGAGCCGACGTGTGACAGTTTCATTGTCGCACTTCTGCTTTAACTATGAGGATGAGTGTAATTCACTCTCCCCTATAGTTCTCCTTTAAGTAAAAAAATAATAAAGTAAAATAAATGTAAAAATACCCAAACATTTTTTTAAAGTTCCCTGCCCCTGCTAACACACTAATAATAACACATCCGGTGTGCCTTCATATGAAAATAACGATTCCGCTGCACATGTTGGGTGTTGCCAAGTGTGCCAGAATGAGAGCAAGAATTCTAGTACAAATATTAATGGATAACTTTAAACTGATGACCTTTACAGGCTTATAAAATGTCGTCTATGGACAATTTGGGGTACCGTTTCATGGGTGCACACAATTTTTACCTCTGCCATGTTGGGTATTTACTCAGCATAACCTCATCTTTTATATTTTACAGAAAAATTGGTATAATATTGTGTTTTGTGCACTAACATTAACTTTGCCTGTCAGATACCCAATGCTAGTCTAGGGCTAGCTGTGTGTAAACCGACAGAATTCCGGTTACCCCCGACTCCAGCCAAGTCCGGAAAAACAAACGGATCAGAGACCTAATTTGCCAGACCTGATCCTGATGCTGGATCGAGGGTAAACACATGTCCCTTTCCATCTCATTCCCCATTCTCATACCATTCCCCAGACTGACATGGGGTCTGGTCATTTCAGTCTTTTCCTCCATCACAATAAAGAGGGAAAAACTGGATGGACACCGAATGCACAGCGGTGACATCCGATCCATACCTCTCGATAAGGAGGGGATCCGTGCACAGATTCCCTCCTGATCAGCCCGTGTGAAAGGGGCCTAAAATTCTCAAGTCTGAATGCGATATACATCAATCAAAGGTTGAGGAAGTTAAACAGCACAGGCTTCCGAAGTGCACTCCCCATTTACCATGTGGATAGTTCTATATGGTAAGTCTGCAGTGGATTAGAGAACTCAGCCTGAGGGCAGATTAGTGGACAGTATGTGGCCTCTGTGTCAGAATAGGCAACGTCCATCAGTGGCTTCCGGGACAAGTCTAGAGCCGAGAGCCAAACATTATAACTCCAATATTCTACAGAATTAGAATAAGCAATAGTACATTTTTCAAATTCTCCCTGTTGGTTAATGCACTGTCATTGTATTATGCTCTCTTATATTCTTTTTAATATCAATAAACATTTATTGCACAAGAAATGAATTCAGATGTTCACCCATCTGGACAGAGGTTGGTGGGTAAGCCAGGTTCAGCTCACATTCTCCATTTTTGTACTCTTTGTAGGTGATTGAAGACAATGGTGTGCGGAGAGTTGTAGTTGTTCCTCAGCCCCCAGAATTCCACACAAGTGGTCATGCAGTTATACATCGACCTCCACTGCAAGGCTTTATTCCCCTTCCAGCTATGATGCCGCCTCCTCCTCGTCACATTTACTCACCGGTCAGTGGAGGAGATATTGCCTCTCAATACACGCCTCAGTATCACCCCACACAGGTATATGGAGATTTGGGTAAGTACTCTGTCTACTTTGTTTTATTATAAAAGCTATGTTTGGGGGTTTATGGGGACCAACTACACATCGACACAAGAATATGTTCATTGAACACCACACTGCTATGTACACAACAAGCCTTTTTTTTTGGAGAGAAGTAAACGGGGTTAATACCTGTGTCAGTTTTTGCATCACTGTGTTTGCTGGAGAGATTTCCCCCTTTCCAGTACTTGTTACACACTAGGTTTCTAGGGGGAATCTGCTTAAGAGGGGCCCAGAAAACAATAAAAACACAGACATGGATTAGAAACTGTTCCCACCCAAGCGTTTTTGGTCCTGTTTAGAAACTCTCTCCAGCTAGAACATGAATAAAAACCTGACTAACTTAAAGTTGAGGTAGAGTATTTTAAAATGGGGGGGGTATAGAGCTTTTAGCCGTAATGTGTTAGTAAGCACCGTATATTAGCCCACTATGACAGACTTACCTGCCAAACTGATCCCTTCCAGTGCTGTGCTTCCTCTGAATTTTTTATTTTGATTACGGGCACATCTTCAAATGTCATCCTGTTTGCGACTTTGCAACAAGTGATGAATGGACTTTAGAGGCACACTAAGGGTTAATATATAATTATAGTATCCTTTCCAGGTAGTGGCTATTTGTAAAGGGGAACACTTGTTACTTTGTAGAATATTTGCATGATGGCTTGAGGAAGGTTTGATGATGATGACCCAGAACTGTTACCATTGCTTTGAACTAATGGATTGAACTTTGTAACAATTTTTGCAAAATAAAAGAAGACAAAAATGTTGTAACTTCGTGTTTTACTTTTACAATACCAAGGACTTGAACAATCCATGAATACCTTTTCAGCTACATTTTATGATCAAATTTTGTTACTAGCTTCTTTATTTATTTTATTGGTCTTCATTATATTTAATATTTTACTGTTAAGGTTGTGTACAAGATTACATCCTGAAGTAATGATATTGACAGCCAACTAGGACTGCTGTGACCTGAACAACTAAATATGGCTTACAAGTAGATGAAGAGGAAGAATCTATTAATGCTGAACTGCAAAATAAATAAAAACATACTGAGGGGAATTTATCAAAACTGGAGCAGACAAAATCTGGAGCAGCTGTGCATGACAACCAATCAGCTTCTCTCTTTCATGTTCAAATCTTAACTGAACAAACTGATGAGAGAAGCATTTCCCTAAGTGTGTCAGCACAGCTGCCCTTCCCAGTGTAAACGTAAGCTAATGAAGATGCCCTTTGGGATCTCTAGTGGTCGCCATAAGCGCGGAGGTTGTGGCTTGAGGCTGTATATGAGAGCTTCTGTCCATCCAGTCCTTAGATTTACAGCACAGCCAGCCTGGAGACCTTATTTTTCTCTACAGTGGTTGAGTAATACAAGTAGGTTTTGTCTGTGCCCCCAGCATGTGATTGGGCAGTAAGGAAGAAGCAGCAGACTGATTACCCCATTTCAGTATCGCGCAGCTCTCCCCTCCAGCCGTTCCTTACAAGCACTGAAGCACTGCAGCACACCTGATTGGCTCCGGAGGCTGTTTCTCCCTCTTATAGTCTAAGCTCATATATAGAGTACTGCAGGATGCCAATACCAAGTCGCATTCAGGTGTTTACACCAATAGTTACTATCCTAATAATTTTTTATGTACACATACCTGTATATATTTTAATAAATCCAACCCAAACAATAAGGTTTTGGGTGGATCACAGTGGTGTCAATCCTCTGATAGCTGTTTGGGTCAGTATAGAAATTCAGCTGTAGAAATGTCATCCTAGTTTCTTGTTCTGTTCTATTACCATGTTCTGTGCATGGATGTCACACTCTGCTCCAGTCTTTATTTATTCTATAGGTAACTATCAGAGGATGATTGTTTGATCCAGCAATATACGTTTTCCCTGCTTTAGCTCCTTCTGCATGTCCAATGACATCACAACAACTGGATTGTCCTTTCCATTCCTCTAAAAATAAAATTAGACATATCTTTAACATATCTTTGAATGCTTTAAACCAAAGAGGATAAAATCTTATCAACGAAAGAGGCAAAAGGCACAAAGATGCATTCAGGTTGACTCGGTGTTCTAACTGGGTTTTTGGTAATCTTGGGCAGGGTATACAGTGTAGGATCATTGAATGTGTGAACCGCAAACAAAATCACCATGATCTAATGTCAGGAATTCTGTGTGGTAGCCAGATCACTAAAGTCTGTTGGTAACTTAAATATCCCTGTCTAGATTTGCCAATTAAGATGATTTACTTACTGCTCAGATTAAATGATGTTCTTCAGTGAATTCTAGAAGCAGGGAAACATGGAATCCACCCTTTAATTTCCTTGTTTTTTTCCTTCAGAATTCCTGCAGTCATTTTAACAGTTGAGTTGGTATACATATTTGAAATGTGTTTAAAGCTGAAATCAGTCTTTTGTGTCTACTCTAAGAATTGCTGGGCAAGAGCTTTGGTGGGTTTATTGGGGAGCGCATGAGACGGCATGAACATTTGTCTGCAAATTTGTAATACTGAAATATATTATTTTACTTTCCTTTTGCAATATGGCCATATAGCTGAAAAAAGAGACAAACGCATCCCTAAGACATCAGCATACATTTACAATGCTGTTGGAAGATTCCTCTAAATGTATTTTTAACTATGGAATTGTGCCTTTAAACTTTATAAATAGAATTAATATAATATGTTTGTGTTTTTTATAGTTTGTTGAATATTGTAGATGTATATTGATTCATTTCTCAGTCATTTCTGAACTCGTATTTAATGTCCCCAGATCCACTATCACATGGGAGGTCCAGTCTCAGAGATGAGAGGTCTAATAAAATACATGAACGACTGCAGAAGAAGCTAAAAGACAGACATGGTGCACAGAAAGACAAACTCAACAGCCCCCCATATTCACCCAAGAAAAGCACTTCTCCGGTCAACGAATCCAATGGCGTAATCAAAGGGCAAAACAGTCCATCTCTAAACACAGGACAGTCCAAGAACAAGCAGAAAGGGAAGACATCGGCCCAGGTAGAAGCAGAACCGCCAGGTAATTGTGCCCGTAAAAAACTATGCAAAGGATGGTTTAGAGTTAATGCATTGCCACAACTTTAAAGAGATTCATATTTTTAATTCTGTGTATTTTTAAACAGATGTAAATGTGGGATATTAAAATAAATGTTAATGTCTTGTATCTTTCTGAAATAATCAGTCTTTACAAATCTGCAGTCTACACATTCTCCCGGCATCCCTGTTGATCCTTTTATTATTATTATTATACAATATTATACAATACTTTTATATGGCCAACAGTTTGCACTGCACTTTACAATATAAGGAAGACATTACAGTTGCAATACAATTTGAGACAAGATTGTTTAGGAGGATCCTGCCTGTAAACATCTGGTGCCCATCTGTTAACTTACCTCTACCTACTAAAGCTCCCCCTCCACAGTGACCCTCTGTTGTACTCTGGTTTGAAGTCTGTTATATGTCTCTCACTGCCTATAGCTGCCCCTAAACATAAGATGACTGTGTGGGATGTGCAGGCATGAAAGACATTTCTTAAAGTGACACTAAACTCAGGAGTTAAAACTTAAAATGAATTTAAATAACTTAAAACAAAAGGATCTTATTTGTCTATCACTCGGCTGTAGATCCTCAAATCATCTCTGAATTGGTGCCGACACTGTCCTTCCTTCTGGAGGGTGGCTACTTTTGTTCCCCATGGTCCCTGTGTGTGTTGTAAAGTAGCCAACGCTCCAAGCTCACTCCCGTGATGGACTACAATCTCATGTTTAGTTTACTAATTTGTATTGAGATTATAGTCCATCATGTGAGGACACTTGAAGCGGGGGCTACTTTACAACACACACAGGGGCCATGGGGAACAAAAGTAGTTACCCTCCAGAAGGAAGGACAGTGTCACCATGAATTCAGAGATGATTTGAGGATCTACAGCCGAGTGATACACAAATAAGATCCTTTTGTTTTAAGTTATTTTAATTAATTTTTAAGTTTTAACTCCTCTGAGTTTAGTGTCACTTTTGGCAAAAGTAGTTACCCTCCAGAAGGAAGGACAGTGTCAGCACCAATTCAGAGATGATTTGAGGATCTACAGCCGAGTGATACACAAATACGATCATTTTTTGTTAATAGTTAAGGGATTTGAATTCATTTTTAGGGTTTAACGCCTGAGTTTAGTGTCACTTTAAGAAAGAGTTGGCTTACCTAAGGGGATCAGGAAAAAGTCTGCCAAGCAAATCCATACTTCCCTGAGAACAGTCAGCCGGGGGTTGTCTGGAGAAGTGAAAGCGTACCTTTTAACTTCCCAGTCCAACCATAACCACATGAATTGCACAATTATACTATTACATATGTGAGCACTTTTAGCTTTCCTGAGCAAATTCTGAACACTGTATGTGACATGTACTTTCACCCAAGTTTCACATATGTTGTTCAGTGCATGTCAGACAACCTCTTCATTACTGCCTAAAGGTCAGTACCTCAGTAAAGTGTTCTCTTCACTCAGTGCTGCAGCCTAGCAAATTGAACATTTTCTAAACCCGTGGGTTCTTAAAACAGATGACCAGTTCGATCATTCAGCCACCATACAGATACATTGAGATTGTCATGGTGGTTCATAGTAAGCAAATTCTTCTCATAGATTAAATAAGGTAGAGACCGCTACAGTGCATTCATGTGTGTATTTTCTTTTAGGCAACAATGTAACAAAGTACAGAACAGCATCAGGCTTATAAGTAACAAGTAGTGTCACCTCAAGGAAGACATTCGTGGTGTATTGTTGTAGAACAGTCCTGCCAAGCAGGAACTCTGATACAATATCCATAGTTGTCAAATAAAGACCAGTTTGGGAATTATCTATAGCAGAGCTGTGAGAAAAATAGAAATGCCTTCAATAGATTTTCATATCTTAAACCCGCTATATTACAGAAGTTGATTTTGGTCAATTAGTTTCATATAAATGTCATCGGACAGAAAACGCTATTTGAGAACAACTAGAAAATCCAGAAATATCACACGTTGTGTGTCATACACAGTATTACATTTAATTGACTCCACTCTTGTGTTGAGGTGGTGATTGAATGCCGATATGGATTCAGTGTTGACTCTTCAGATAACAAACCCATCATCTTTGTAGAGCCATCACATGGAGTGGTCGGAGAATGCTACATTAGATAATGAAAATTAATGTTCAAAGTCATTTATAAATGTCCCTGAGAAGTGGCTACATTAGAGCTTATGGACACATTTTATTTATAATCAACCAAAACAATGTTTTAAACAAACCGGTTTGTCATTTGTTGTATAAACCACTAGAGGAGATGAGAGATATCTGCTTTAATCCCATCTGCATTTCTAATCGAGGTGTAAACGTATGAAATATCCCATGACATCACTACAACTGGATTGTCCTTTCCATTCCTGTAAAAAATCAGCCTCATCTTTAAAGGAGAACTATGGGGTCAGGGCTTTTCCCCATAGTTCTCCTTAGGGTAACGGGAGGACACAAACTAGCGTCCTCCCGTTACCCTAAGCTCAGTATACCGCGAGCTACAGCGATGTCGAGATCCGCCCAGCTGCGTGAGTGACAGCTGGCTCTGCCTATCTAGAGGCAGAGCCAGCTGTACCCGCCCCCTCCCCAGTCAGCGCTGGCGGATCGGAGGGGGGAATCCAGCCCCTCCCCTGTCACGGCAGAGAGCCGTGACAGGATCTAGAGGTGAGCGAACGCCGGTATATGGTCGCTCACCTCCAGATCTACTGAGCCGACCTGTGACAGTCTCATTGTCACAGGTCGGCTGAACTATGAGGTGAGTGAGAAGCACTCGCCTCATAGTTCTCCTTTAACATATGCTTACTTGCTTGCTTACCCGCTGGTTTGATTTACGCAATCCTTCCTAACACTTAGTCACTGGAGCTTTTTTTTCAGGTTTTTTATTAAAGTATTTTGAATGTAAAGATTTTTGTCTGGATTGTTGCTTCTTAAAGAAGAACTCGGGGAATATAAAGCAATTTACACATGCAGTGGGGCTACCCTCTCACTGCAGAGGTTAAGTGCTTGTTTTGTCTAGGGGGCTCAAATATAGCGGTATTACTCACCTGATCTTACCAACTCCCTCCAGGCTGCTAGACCGGTCCCCTTAGCCTCTTCTTCCCTGGGCACCGGCGGTCTAAGGGCCACTAACGCCATCATGCCTTGTGCAGGTCCACTGGCCTGCAATAGATGTGAGTACGCCGAGGAACATTCCTTAGATGGAGTGGAGGTGGGGAAAGGTGAGTACTGACCTCCATGGGACAGAGGATCTGGTGTGTAAAACTGCCTAATTGGAGTCCCCTTGACAAAATGAGCATTTAACCCTTGCAGTGTGGGGGTAGCCCCACTGCAAGGGTACGTTTTTTTATATTTTACCAGAGTGCTTCTTTAACATATTGCTAGCTTTATGGTGGTGACAATCGAGCATTTCAACTTGATCCCTAGCACAAAAAGGAGCCATATGAGATGCTGGTAAAATAATCTGAAATGATGAAGTCTTTCAGTGTTTTTTTACAACAAATGACAAACTGGTATGTTTAAAATTCCTTATTTTGCCTTTTGTTATATGTATGTTTAGGAATTTTGAGTGCAAAACTATTTGTGAATAATTTGTGATTGTAAACTTGAACCTTGAGGTTAAAACTATTATTAAAGAAGAACGCGGGTAAAATTTGTATTACCCCTTGCATTAAAAGGGTTAACTGCTTGTTTTGGTCTAGGGAGGAAAATAAAGTTATACTTACCTGTCCTCTGACTTGGCTTGCTCTTACCAGCAAAATGGTAATATAATATGGACTTCAGGAGCCATCTCTATTGACAGCCAGTAGAGAAAACCTCAAAACTTGGGCACCGTCTGTAATTTTAAGGAACATTGGCTGCCTGAGTCCTGGAATTTGTCCAGCCCAGGTTAAAGCTGGCCATACACCTTACAACCATCGCACGACTTTCGTTGTGCGATGGTTGTAAGGTCATTAAAATTTCGTACGATCTGCCCATGTTGGACGGGCAGATCGTACTTGCGATCATCGCAAGCCCTCCCCGCTGAGGGGTGGGATTGCTGATGATTGCAGTGCTGAGTGGGCAGTGTGCGCTTGCGCACACCGGCCCATCCGGCATTTGTCTTCCGAGCACGCTACCAACCCGCCGAAAATCTTACCATTTTCGGCGGGTTTTCGAGCATGCTAGGAAGACGAAAGCCGTGTGAGCGTACAGTAGATGCCGTCGCACGCTGCCCATACACCTGCCAATTATTTACGATCGCGGGATCACCCGCGATTATCGTACGATAATAGGCAGGTGTATGGGCACCTTTTAAAGAGAGATTTGTATTGCACCCAGCAGTCAGAGCTGTATGTGATCATGCAATCATTGATGCAATATAAAGCTAGCTTTATTAAGTTTATTTGCATATAAATTCAAATGTGTGGGGTTTTTTTTGGGGGGGGGGATTATTATTACTTTTTGGCAATTAAATAATTACATTGAATATATTTCACAGACCATCAATTTTAGCTTTTATGTGGATGAAGCCCACACAGAAACCTGTTGGTAAATGATTGTATTTGTTTCAATTATAGAAAAAGATGAAGAAACGAAAGCACTGGAAGCGCAGCTTTCTAACATTTCCAAGCCGGCGGTAGGTACTATCGGATACCGTTTTCTTTGTGTTTTTCCATGACAATATTGCAAAGATATTTGTTCATTTTTTGTGAAGCTCTCACGCTGCAAGGAAGTTGTGTCTACTTTTGTGTGTGTTTGCAGGTATAACATCTTTTAAGGTTATATGTTCACGGGCACTCTGTGCTCCTCCCTTCTGGTCAAACAGACCTCTAGTCACCTAATCCAGATCTAGAGACCTGCATGGCCCAATTATGCTGAAATTCTCAAACATGAAGAAAAGCAGTGATATGAAGGAGAAAAAGCTAACAAATCTTGAAAGCTCAACCCACCCCACCCTGGTCTCACTAGTACCTTTGCTGGGATGTCCCCCAGCTCTGTTGCTCATCTGCAACTCTTGCAAAATACTGGGGGAGCGTGTGATTTCCTCCTAGGATTCAGTGCTTGTGCCTTAGCAGCCAGTCACTATATGTTTGTCATCAAACCTGCGTATGCCCCAAAGTCATCCAATATGAAACTTAGACAAAGTGGGGTTCCAATAAGGAAACAGAGCACAGGGAATGCACAGGGTATCTGGGTGAGGGGTTGGACCTTCCAGAGACTGTTACTTTGCCCTGAAGTATGTCAGGGCAAGTATGACAGTATGTCAACCTTTAACCTTGAAGACTCCCTTGCTTATAAATATGCACCTAACAGTCCACACACTAAAATCTGGAATGTAAAACAAAAGACACAAAAGTTAGGATAACCCGTCAAGTAAAATTGTCCAATATGTTTGAAGTCTTTTATTCAAGTTAGAAATTATCTAGATGCACTGTCGTGACACCTAATAGTAATAGAAAATTCTAATTCTTTCTTGCTTGCCCATTTTTTTAAAAAAAGGGCTACTTCACTGTCCATAAGACTGTTTGGAGGCTAAAATGGGGGCCCCAGCATTAGAGGTCAGTGAGTCCCTGATCACACCTAGGCGTTTTTATGCGCAAAACACAAAAAAAGCAATGCATTCCTATGGGGCTTATTTACACCTTCACATCAGTACACATGCGCAGAAACACGCAACGCGGGGGGAAAAACCACGCATCTATAAAAAATTTAGCGTTTCCACATAAAACGCGCTGATTTACAAACGCCTGTGTGTGAATGGAGATGGAGAGTAGAAATGTCTCTGCATTGTGTGCGTGTGTCTATGTATAGATATATATTTTATATATATATATATATACACACTGAGTGGCCAGATTATTATGACCACCT